GTTGACATCTCTTCCCGTCTCATCCTTTCAACCACCACTTTGAACCAAATAAATGAACAGTTTGGTATTTATTATTCACCTGCCCTGGTTTAAAGAGTGTTACGTGTGATGTGGCACGACAGCGAAATTCAGAATAAAAGAGGGTGGAGGAGTGAACAGGAATATGGAAAATCCATCAGCTTGGACACTCCCCCCCCCTCCCAAATCTTTATTTTTTTACAGTTTTTCTCATTATCTATGAGCCACATTGTTAGATAGCATCAAGAAATAAACTTGTTCCAGCTGTGCAACCTCAGGTGTTCCCTGGGTTATGTCACCACCAGTTTCTCTTCCCATATAAAATCAGATTCCATGGTGTTACATCAGTTTTTGCAAGGAGAGTCAGGGCAAAGTTTTCCCTGCTCCCTGCCCTGTTTGTGTCCCTCTGTTTGCACAACCTCCACTCCTTGGAACAGCAAAGGCCCAGCCAGGAGCACAAGGAGCAACCCAGGAAAGGGAGCAGGGAAAACCCCAAAAGGATCAGCCCTGAAGAGCCAAAACCCCCTGAAATCACAGCAACAGCATTCCAGAGGCAGAAATGCAGCAGATTCCAAAATGGGATTAGGGTCAGTGAGATTATTCAATTTCTGAACACAGACAGGATTAATTATTAGAAGGCAGCTCAATTTTGGAGCATTTGAAGTTTCCCAATTTGCATCCAGCTTAGCTCATTTCACATTTTTCCAGTCAAACAAGACCTGGGGACTCCAGGAGTCCCGAAAGGTCAGGATTCCCTCACACTGAGGACTGAATCCAGCACAGAAATGCCATTTCTCAGGCTGAAGGTGCTCCCCAAGGCTCAGCACAGACTCTCACTCCTCAGAGACATCCCTGGAGGTGCCAAAATTTCATTTGTACCAGGACAAACTGCCCCCATGGACAGGCCAGGAGCAGCTCCTGCCCACTGCAGGCTCTGCAGACTCCCAGAGGAAGCTGGAGAGGATGGAGCTTTTTGTGTGCTGCTGCTTCTGAGGATGTAGAGGAGACCACACAGATGGTTCACAGTCAGAGGAAGGACAAAAAAATAAATCTGGAATTATTTAATCCCGACAAGGAAACCCAGGACAGCTCCAGGTGACATCCCAGGGCATGGGGAGATGGAGAAGAGAACTTGGGCCTTGGTGGATGAGTCCTCCCAAGCACCAGGAGATGCCTCCTCTCCTCTCTGCTGTTATTTGGCAGGAAGCTGAGAAATCCCAAAAAAACCCATGGATTGGGATCTGCTGGGGCATGTTCCACACGAAACCAACACCAGAGAGAATTAGGAGTCAATCTGGGTAATGTTTTCCCTTTTTGTTTGCTTTGCTGCAGTAAGTGGTGATTTTCTCTGTGGTGGCCACACCTCCTGTAAAGGGACTAATCCCAATATGCTCCATGGCATTCCCAGGAAAAAGAGAATTCCACTCTTCCTGGAAGCAGAAACCCACATGCAAATCCAATGTAAGGAGCTCTGCCTATATTTTCTTCCTCCAGCAAGAAATTATTATTATTATTATTATTATTATTATTATTATTATTATTATCCCCCCTCACGAGTGGATTTGTGAATTACCCAACAACAATGGCTCAGGAATCTGTTTACGTGGCTCCACAAAAGACAATAAATGAGTGCAAACCCAACCCAGCCTCCCCCTCTGCAGCTCACCCGTTATTTCAAGCCTGGAACAGACACAATGCATTAGTCACAGCCCCAGATCTGCTTCTTTTTACCCCAAAATAACATTCCAGACTCAAAGCCCTACTTGCCCTTGCTCAGCCAGGCTGCCCCTGCAGTAGCCACAGGTGAGGAGGAGGAAGAGGAGGAGGAAGAGGAGATTTAAACAGCCACTGCCTTCATGACCTGACAATATTCCACAGCTCTGAGGAGCAGCTCCCAGTCTCCAGACATTGCTGCCCGATTTTCCCCCTGTCCCATGAAATGTGAACTCCCCACAACCATCACAAACCAGTTTCTAGGAAGCACAGAGGAATTTCCACCCGTTCTGCCCCTCTGGAAGAGAAATCTAAGTGTGAACACACGTTTTGGAAACTCTTCTGACCAACATAAGCTCAGTGGAAAATGACAAATTTAAAGGAAAACAGCCCTAAAGCTTTCCAGGTTATCCAGGTGAGTGGGACAGAGGCAATCCATGCTGGGGAAATAAAGGATTCCTTCAGATTTATAATCATGGAGTGGTTTGGGATGGAAGGGACCTTCAAACCCATCCAGTGCCACCCCTGCCATGGCAGGGACACCTCCCACTGTCCCAGATTGTCCCTCTCCAACCTGGCCTTGGACACTTCCAGGGATGGGGCAGCCACAGAACACAGCAACCACAACAGCCAAGGAACAGGATGATGTGTAAAGGCACTTCTTGGAGGCCAAAATAATCCTTTCTATAACACACCAACTCTTCCTGTATAAATATAGGTTTAAAAAATTAATTTTAGGCCTCAAAGGCTCCTGGAGCATTTTGCTCCTTTTCCAACTTGTCTGGTTTCTTTTTTTTTTTTTTACTATGAGAAGAAAATAACATTCCAGAAGAAAAAAAAAAAATCCCCACCCAAAACAGGCCAAACAAAGCCTTTCCCCACTCTTTTTCCCCAGTGAATTGGGTTCATCGTGTCCTGGTGCAACCCTGATGAAAACCCTCCCAAAACTGGAATCAACTCCAGCACTGCAAGGCCGAGGAAGCAAAGGATGTTGATGTTCTATCTACAAAACATTTCCCCTCAAAATCTGCCACCAACCTGCTTTTACTCTGCATCCAGCCACTCTGCAGCAGTGCAAAATTAATTTAATAATAATAATAATAATAATAATAATAATAATAATAATAATAATAATAATAATAATAATAATAATAATAATAATAATTTTTTAAAAAGCTCTCAGGGGGTAAAAAAAAAAAAAAAAAAAGAAAAAATCTGTGCAGGCAAGAAGAGCCCAGAAGAGTAAATACAATAAGCCTGGATAATGCAGGGCTCACGTGCAGGCTCCTCTCTGGAGCTCCCAGGGTGATCCCAGCGCTTTCAGTGCCACAGAAACAATTTCAATATTACAACACTTAAACCACCTGAGCCCACCCCAACTCCCAGCTCTCACACGGATCCGATGGAGGAAGAAAACAATCCCAGGTGCAGGGTGGGACCACCAGCGTGTGCTGCCCCTTCCTCACCCCCAGGGCTGAGGAATTGCCCCAGGGCCTCTCCAGGTCACCGCTCCCCAGCATTTTCCCCGCACCGCCATCCCACCCCTCTGCTACAGCCCCGTTTTTACCATTCCAGGCTCTTTTTTGTCCCCTAGAAGGGCCGGGCAGTCCGGAGAAGCAGCGAGCAGGGATTTCCATCCTCCACAGCCTCTGGCAGCGATGGGAAGTAAATCCCGCCGCTGCCCTTCCTCCCTACCCCCTCCTCCTCCTCCTCCTCCTCCCACGGGAAGACAGCTGGGACAACAATGCGGCTGGAATCGCCCTGGCTCCACGCTCCGCTTTGTGCCACGGCCTTTGAATAGATCTCATTGTTTACCCTCCTCTCCTTCCGTCCTCTCCATCCCCCACCTCCCCGTAAGCAAATTTTTTTTCCCCCCCTCCCAGCTAAAAATATAAAAAAAAGTGGCGCTGGGGGCTCCTTTTATCCCCCCCAGCCCCGCTCCCCAAAGGTTCTTGTGGTGTTTTCCAGGCGCGTTTTCCCCACATCTCCTGCTCCAGCATCAACTTGGCTGGCAGCGCTCGCACCCGCAGCAACACGTTGGGAGCAGCTGTGAGCCCCCCAAAACCCCCCCCGGGACCCCCAAAATGGGGTGGGGGAGAAGTTTCACATCGGCAACACCCCCAACACCCCCCCCAAACTCGCACCGTCTCGATTCTCCCCAGCCCCAGGGAATGAGATGGGGGAACCCCCTCCCCAAAAGGGATGGAGGGGGAAGAGGTTTCACACTGAGCACCCCAAATCCGGGAGTTCAGGCCTGAGCCCCCCCCTGTCACCCAATAGCCACAGACCCTCCCCAGCCTCATTCACACTGAGCCCCCCACGGGACCCCCAAAAACAGGACAGGGAGGAGTTTAAAATCAGCCCCCAAAACCCGGGGGGCACAGCCCTGAGCATCTCCTTGTCCCCAAAGTCACCCCCAGCCCCATTTACAGATCCCCCCCCCTGCGGGAGTTCACATCCACCAACAGAATAACCCCCAAAAATGGGGGGGTGCAGGGGGGAAATGTCACAGCAACGACCCCCCAAAGCCGGGGGACACAGCTCTGAGCCCCTCATCCCTGCCCCATTCACAGGGAGTTTATATCCCTCAACAGAACATCCCCCCCAAAAATGGGGGGTGGAAGGGAGAAATTTCACAAAAACGAACCCCAAACCCGGGGGGCACAGCGCTGAGCCCCTCATCTCGAACCCCTTCATCCCAGCCCCATTCACAGAACCCCAGGAGGGGTTCACATCCATCAACAGAACATCCCCCAGAAAATGGGGGGTGCAGGGGAGGAATGTCACAGCAACGGCCCCCCAAACCTGGGGGGCACAGCTCTGAGCCCCCCATCCCAGCTCCATTCACAGGGAGTTTATATCCGTCAACAGAACATCCCCCCGAAAATGGGGGAGTGGGAGAAATATTACACCAAAGGCAACCCAAACCCGGGGGGGGCACAGCTCTGAGCCCCTCATCCTGAGCCCCCCATCCCTGCCCCATTCACAGGGAGTTTATATCCGTCAATAGCAGATCCCCCCGAAAATGGAGGGTGGAAGGGACAAATGTCACACCAAAGGCACCCCAAACCCGGGGGGCACAGCTCTCGACCACCCCCCATCCCAGCCCCATTGACACAGCCCCCCCAGGCCCGCGCTGTCCGGGCCGGGGCCGGGGAGGGTCCCCAGGGCCCTCGGGGGGGGTCGCCCACAGCGCGGCCCGGTCCCCCCCGCTCCTCCTCCGCCGGGCCAGGCCGGGCCTCCCCCCGCGGGACCGGCCGGGGCCTCACCTCAAAGCGGCTCTTAGTGACCCCGTTCATCTCCCTGCGCATGGCGGGGCCGGCGCGGGGGCGGCGCGGGGCCCGGGGGGTTCGGGGGTGCCGGAGCCGCGGCCTCCGCCCGGCGCCGCCGCCGCGTCCGCTCCGGCCTCAACTTCGACCCAAAACAAAAACACTGCGCACCTGCCAGCAACGGGAGCGCTGATTGGACAGCGCCGCGGGGAGGGGGGAGGACGGGGAGAGGGAGGGGAGGACGGGGAGAGGGGAGAGGGAAGGGAAGGGAGAGAGGAGAGAGGGGCGCACAGCGGGGAATGAGGGCTTTGGGAGAGGAGAGGGGAAGCGGGAGAAAAGGGGGGTGCGGAAAAGAAGGGGAGGGGAGGAAAGGAGAGGGAGAGGGTCGCATAGCGAGGTGGAGAATGAGGGCTTTGGGAAAGGAGGGGGGAACCGGGAGTGCCCCCGGGGAGAAAAGGGGGGTGCGGAAAGAGGAGGACGAGAGGGAGAGGGAAGGGAGGGAGAGGGGAGCACAGCGAGGAATGGGGGCTTTGGGAGAGGAGAGGGGAAGCGGGAGAAAAGGGGGTGCGGAAAAGAGGGGGATGGAAGCGGGGCTGGAGAGGGGAGGGGGTCCCGGAGCCGGGGGGAAAGGACCGGGGAGAGGGGAGGGAGGAGAGAGGGAGAGGGGCGCACAGCGAGGTGGGGAATGGAGCGAGGGGAGAGGACGGGGGAACCCCGGGGAGAAAAGGGGGGTGCGGAAAAGAGAGGGAGGGGAGGGGAGGGGGTCCCGGAGCCGGGGGCTGCCCTGAGGATGCGGGTCCGGGATTGTCCCGGGGAGGGGGACACACACACGACCGGAGACAGACACACACGACGGGGGACACACACACACAACCGGGGGGACACACACACACACAACCAGGGACACACACACACGACCGGGGACACACACACACGACCGGGGACACACACACACAACCGGGGGGACACACACACACGACCGGGGACACACACACACGACCGGGGACACACGCACACACGACCGGGGACACACGCACACGACCGGGGGGGACACACACACGAGCGAGGCTCCCCCCCACCTACCCCGCAGGCCGCCGCCCCCATCGCGCCGCCGCGGGCTCCTCCCGCCCCCTGCCCCCGGTGCCGCGGGACCCCCCCGGCCCGCAGGCGGCTCCCCCCGGTGTCCGGGGGGCTGCGGGGATCGGGGGTCCCGGGAGAGGGGGGGGGGGGTGGGCGTCCCCCGCCCCTCCGGTCCCTTCCGGGAGCAGCGAGTTCAACCAATCAGCGCACGGCGCGGGGGTGACGTCACGGTGACGTCATTCTCGCGGGAAAATCAAGCATGGCGGGGATGGGTTTGTGATCCGCCCTCCCCCCCCCCCAACCCCCAGCACGGAGGCGACACCGATTTGTACCAAAGGGGTTTATTTGCATGTAAATAAAGATGTTCTCTGCGATATCTCCAAAAAAGTTGAAATTCCACTTTCCGCCCAAAAAAAAAACCGCCGCGGGATCCGGGATATTTACAATTCCAGCGGTTTTGCCAGCCAGGGATTTATGTACATCATGATAATCGAGGAAAAGAACCAGTTTCTTTTAATCTCCGTGTTCACTTCACCACCTGAGATTAAAAGGTTTGGCTTATATTTAATTTTCACTTTATTTGTATCTTTCTGAATACTGAAAGATGTAAAATTATTGAGAATATAAGCAAAAATATTCCAAAAATAAACCATTTCTCAGAGCCCGAGCACTGACACCCCAAAGCCTCTGCGTGGTCACACACCTCAGTTCCCCCAGGACTGACGTCATTGGAAGGGGACAGGGCACCAAAATGGGGTGAAAAGCTTTAAATTTGGGCTGGAGGAGACGTTGTTCCCTCTGTTCCCACCTTCCACAGGGGGAATTTTGGATACTGAGCTTTGGTCTGGGTGAGGGGAGAGGAAACGAGTGCAGCTTGCTCCTTTTCAAACAGAATTTTTGTGTCAATTTTGCTGCTTTCCTTTCCAACTTTTAGTGTGCAGCACAGCAGGAAAACACAGCTCTGGCTGAGGACGAGTCCAGGGAGCCATCCTGGAGGATTCCCAGCCTGGATTCCACTTGAAAGTGCTTTGTTTTGGAAGGCTGCTTGTGCCCCCTCACACAACTTGGATCAAAGGGATTTTGTCCAAAAAAAATGGATTAAATAAAAGCAGGAGATGGGGCTCCAGAGGCTGAGCTGGCAGCATTCCCAAGAGAGCCACTGGAGCAGGGTGTCCAGCTGAATTCCTTTGGGATTGTGCTCCTGCCATCCTCTTTGCAGCACCCCATACACAGCTCCACAATTCCAACACTGTGCCAGGTATCAGCATTTACTGCAGGTTTGGATTGAATTCCCATTTTCCTATCATTTCAAGCTCTGGTTGTGGTGTGCAGGACACCAGGAGCAAAGGATAAATACTGGAAAATGTAAGGAGGGAAAAATTCTCCAGAGTTGGGGGAAGTTTGGGAGACATTCAGGCTCCTGCACTGTGCAGGAGCCCTGGAATTTAACTGGAGGCAGGAGGAAGGAAGGGGTGAAAAATCCCTACAATGAACCTACTAAAAACACTTTCCAAAAAAGCTGGAAACCAAACAGCTTTGCTGGGGTAGCCCTGGGGTCAGCCCACGATGGGAAATTTCAGTGGTTTCAAAGAAAAACTCAAATCATTGCCAACTTTTCACGCTGCATCCCCCAAAGGTGAAGCACAACCTCATTCCCACGGGGAAATCCTGGCCTCCAGCACAATCCAGTGGGAGCAGGATCCTGCTCAGTACATAATTCCACAGGAGATGTGTTTGCAGAACTCCTGATTTCCCACATTCCACTTCAGTGAATCAGATGAAACTGCTTTTAAAAATAAAACACTCTCCTGAGTCTCTTTTCCTTTCAGGGACCACAAGATCAGCCTGGAGAGGATGCCTGAGTCATGCTCCTAATTCCAGCCAAAAGGGGAAAATCCATCTCTGAAGGGAATCAACACTTCTGCTGCAGCTCTGATCCCAGCTGAGCCACTCTGGGATTGTTTTCCAAGCAGGACATGGCTCCCTTAGCTGGAGAATCCTTCCCAGGATTGGGACCACAATTCCCAGCTTCAGCAGCACGAGGAGATTCCAGGGAAGCTTGGTGTAGGCAGGAATCCCTTTTTCCACTGAGATTTGCTGGAATTTCACTGTGCTGGAATGTCACCAAAGCTGCAGAGCCACCCAAAGCCACGAGCTCTACCCAAATTCCCACTGGGGGAAAACAAGGAGCACAAGGTGCTCCCACATGGAGGTGAAGAAATAGCTAAAATAAATGGGAAGGCAAACCCAAGGCAGCAGCAATCCCTCAGAGCCATGACCTGGGATAAAATCCTGATTTCCATGAGGAAACAGTTCATTGAATGAAGGAATGCCGTGGGAATAAAATCAATTAAAAACCTCGTGGTTTTCCTTCTTCCAAAGAGTTAAAACCCAGCCCTAAAACATTTCCTAAAATAATGACTTGAAAACTTCCTACATCCAAAAGGAGCTCATCCTGAGTGGGAAGAGGGCAGAGGGACTGGGATGTCCCAGACCAGCCTATGTCTGTTTGCTCCCACATTCCCACACTCAGCCCCATCCCCGTGAACTCCCACAGGGATGGATGATAATACTCATAAATCCAGCAAGAATGGAAGTGCCCACAGGATGAAGGCCACAGGCAGGGACCTGGCTGCTGGCACTCACATCCTTCTGCACAGACCTTGGTGGTCTGAAAATCTTGGAAATCCCTTAGAAATACTTATTTTTTCCCCCATCTCCAAACAGATCCGTGTGGCAGGTTTGAGATGAATCAATCCTTCCTTCCCTCCAGGACTTGCAGGCAGCTCATCTGAGAGAATTAATTGCCAATTAGAGCAACATCCATGAGATCATCATCTTCCTCCCCGATGAGGAACTCGGGGCTGGCCCGGGACGGCCGCTCGGCCGAGAGGATGGCATTGCTGGCCATGGCCAGGGACTGATCTGCCGAGATGGGAGACTTGGACCAGCTCTCAGGCTTCATCCCGTGGGATTTCTTCTTATCCCTGTCCTTATCCCGCTCCCTCTCTCTATCCCTGTCTTTGTCCTTCACTTTTTTCTTCTCCTTTTTGTGCTTCTTGTGTTTCTCGGCGCTGTACTCGGGCAGGGGCCGGATGCCGTCGTCGGAGCTGGGGCTGTTCTGGTAGGATTTCTCGGCGATGGAGGAGCCCGACTCGCTCTCGCTGTCGATGTTCTGGGGGGTGTAGGCCGGGGATTTGCTGTGGCTGGGGGAGCAGCGCTCGTGTTTGGGGGTGGAGCCGCTGATCAGGGGCGATCCGTAGCTTTTGGAAGAAGCCATCTGAGGTCTCAGCCCGTCGCCGCCTCCTTCCCCGGGTTTCTGCAGAGTCACTTTGGCTTTAATGCTGGGGGAGCCGCCATCGTGTTTGCTGATGATGATTTTGGCCACTCCGGTGCTTCCGACGTTTTTGGAATCCGAGTTCTTCTTGGAAGAGTCGACGGATCCTCCAGAAACGGAGACTTTGGATTTCTCCTTGTCGCTCTTCTCCCGCTTTCCCTGGAACTCCCCTCCAGACATGTTGTGTTTGGAGGACATTGTATGGCTTGAGGAATTGGAACTCGGCCCCATCTGCCCGTCCATGGGGTCCTCTCCACCGGGCCCACTTGTGACCACCCCGTGCTTCAGCTTGTCAATGACTGCAGTCAGAGATGGCTTCTTGTTTCTGCTGGGGGACTTCCCTTTGGAGCTTCCATGCTGGTTCTGGGATGAAGACATGGAAGACCCACTGGATGAAAAGGAAGATGAAGATGCCGTGGAGGAGTTGGACGAGGGAGGCGGCTTCTGTGACATAGACCCGGAGGATCCCATGCCTGAAGAGGATTTCATGCTCGAGCTTGACCCAGTCCCAGACATGTGGGACCCACCAGAACCGGAACTGATGGGTGACTTTGCTTTAGACGATGGGGGAGTACCCGGGACAGGTTTCATGGGAGAGGCGAGTTTGTCAGAACCCCCGGAGGGCCTCGAGTGGGACGGGGAGATGTTTGGTTTGCTCATGGAAGGGTTCATGAGGGACGATGGCTTTCCTTGAGGTTTCATCTTGGTGCTGCCAGAGCCGGTGCTGAG